TGTTACCATCACTAGGCAATTAGTGACAATGTGGCACTTTTGTGAATGGCATCTTCACTCAAGGGCTGAACACGTTAGCCCATCAAGAAATTCCTGCTGACTGAAGGAAAGCAACAGCTACCATGTCTTTAATTCTTTTTCCAGGTCTCTGGGCTCCAGCCTAACAGATACCAGGCAGAGTTGTTTGTTAAGTGAAGGAATATCGACTTTAGATCATGTTAAGAATTTTTTTCACCCAGTTATTTTAGATATAAAGAGTCCAGACTTCAAGACTGAAGTGAAGTGAAAGCCAAGTAGCACCAACATCTAAGCCTGGATAAGTTTTGGTCTAAAAACGAAGTCTGAGGAAATCTTAAGCTTGACACATTAGGACATTGATCTGTTCTGAGGAGGCCACCAAGTTAATTAGAGGGATGGAGCACCTCTCCTAAGAGGAAAGGCTGAGACAATTGGAACTGTCCAAACCAGAAGAGAGAAAGGTTTTGGTATCTAATTGTGGCCTTCAAATACCTGAAAGGAGCCTGTGAGAAAGATGGAGAGGGATTATTTATAAGAGCCTGGAGTGTGGACAGGAGGAAGTGGATTAAAACTGAAATAGAGTAGGTTTAGTAGGAAGAAATTCTTCCCTGTGAGGGTGGGGAGGCCCTGGCACAGGTTTCCCAGAGAAGTTGTGGTTTCCCAAAAAAGCCCTATCCCTGGAATTGTCCAAGGCCAGTCTGGATGTGGCTTGGAGCAACCTGGGATAGTGGAAGATGGTCCTGCCCATGGCAGGGTGTTGAAGTGAATCTTTCAGGTCTCTTCCAACACAAATTCTCCTATGATTCCATGGTTCTTTCAGCCAGTGAGATTTGCTGTGCACAGATAGATTTGTGTGCATTCATTCTGGACAAAGAGATAGAGAACTGGTAAACTCTTTCCTGTGTTGCTGCTCTTGCAATATTAAAATAGGTGGCCACTGTGTGAGCCTGGGACCTTTTCCCAGTTTAGGAGTTGGGAAGGTTACAGACACACTAAGCTTGATTCCCGAACTGCTCAAAAGAGTCAGAAATGTGATGCTTTTAAAAGCGTAAAATCTTTTCAGAACAATTGTGGGTCTTTCCTTGTGGCTTTGTGAAATGCAATGGAGCTGTAAACAGTGATAGAAGTGGTGGAAGTTGAATTAGAGCAGTTTAGATAAGGGCTGTAGGTTTTGAGTGTTATGCTGGCATAACTTTCAAGGTTCCATACAAAGGTAGCATGGAAAAACAGCTTTTCCAAAACACTGATAATTTCCTTTTGCCATGGGCAAAAAAAAAGAGCACTAACTCCTATTCAGGTCAACTTTCTTCTCACTTACAAGGCAAACAGAAGCCTACAAATTGGACAAACATGCGCTTGCTTTCATCAGGTTCCAATACAAATATTGGCAGCTGTGTTGTTGACACTTCTTCAGAGGAAGTGAGGATTTAAGGATTCTCTTCTCTCTAACAGCAGACACAAAACTGATTCTGTGGAAGTTTGCATACATACCCCAGTACCACCAATCAAAGTAGAAGCTTGCACATGTAAAATACTGGCTCATTGTGAAATACTGGGAATGTTTCAGACTTTTGGGGAACTTACAGCTCAGCTGAGTGTCCATCTACAAGTATGGAAAGGAGTGATTGTTGCTGTTACAATCGCCTCCAACAGAATTTACTTCTCACAGTGCCAAGCCTTGAATCCTTGGATGCTTTGGCTTTAGAATCCTTCTGCTGCCATGACAGAAAAAATTACTGGAGATGAACCTCGGCTGGCCCTCTGCTCTGGAGATCTTTCCATTTGTACATCAGATCCCCAAAGGTGTCCTCAATGCATGCCAGAATATCCTGGAATATTTATGCCCTGCTGTGGTGTCCTTCCTGGTGTGGTTGAAATCCCTGTGAGGACCAGAGCCTGCAAAGGTGAGGCTGTTCCTCACTGTCTGTACAGAGTGTCGTCCACTTTGCCTGTCCTCCTTTTAATCCTGACCCACAAACTTTCCATCAGATTCTCATCCATCCCCAGGCAGCATCCCAAGCACTCCAGCTGCTCTCTCTATGAAGGGCAGCTCTTCCTCCTCATTTTCCTACCCTGCCCTTTCTGAAAGAGCCTGCGTCCCTCGAAGGCAGCACTTCATCAAGGGGCCAACCCACCACATCCCCATGATACCAACAAAACTGCAGCCCTGCAACTTCACACAGATCTCTTAACACCTCAGGTTTGTTCCTGATACTTTGTGCATTCAGCACCTCAGAGTGCTCAGTTCCTGCAGAGGATTTGGGATATTTGTCCATGATGGTGGTGTCTGGTAGGCACTTCCCTGCCCACACCTCATTTTGGTGGCTTTGGGAACCTTTCCTGCCACAGCACCCCATGTCCTTTTTCCAGCAATCCTGTCCCCTGCTCCCACAGGACTGCTGGCCACACCTTCTCTCTCCCACCATTACTAAAATTCTCCTTATGTGCTGGATCCCATCTCTCCAAAGCAGCTGCAAATCCCCACACAGGGTGCCATTGAACACAAACCATGTCACCAACACCAGTTCTACAGCCAATTATGATTTTCTCCTATTAGTGTCCTCCTCCTTGCCCTCTTTCCCCACACCAGCAGCCCATGTGATGAAGCTGCACTTGGATGTTTTTGCCAAGAGCTCCTGCAGGATTCTGTTGGGAAGACTCTGATGATTCCCACTTAACCCAGGCCATTGGCTTGTTTTGGTTTCAAAGGCTTGGGCTCACTGATATGGTGATTTATAATTGAATATTTGTATCAAAGAGATGCCATGACCAGGAACTTGGGCACAGAGTTTGTTTGCAGAAGACACAAAATAACAGAGATATCCTCTCCCAAGTCTGCATTCTACTTCTTCCCTGCACAACAGAAACTGCTCTCTCCCCTAGGGAGTGTTATCAGAGTGTTCATTAAGGAACTGGCCCACATGACAGAAAAACTCCTTTTAGATTTTTGTAAGAAGCAAGGGTTGCTCTGCCTGTGTCATGCACAGACCACACAAACTCTCCCCACAATTCTCCCCAGCTCGAGTGATCCACAGGAGGTTTTCTCTGGGAGCATTTTGATGAGGGGCTCATCTCATATTCCCTGGGTTTATATTTTCCCTGAGTTTCCTAGACAAGCACACACAGAGCTTTCATTCCATGCATGTCAGAGGAATTGACTAAAAAAAATATAAAACAAGTGCCAAGAGAGCTGTCTCTTGTCATCATGGAATTTTCACTGTGGGGGTTTCAACATCTCTTGCCTCCTGATTCTTTATCTCCCTTACTTTTGTGTAATATGAATGTCACAAGATAAACAGTGGGACCCTTCAGCAATTGGTTGGGAAGATACCTCGATTGCCTGTCAGGATTAAAAGATAGTCCTTAAAAAACCTGTTAAAAATCTGCTGGAGCGTAAGAGGAACAACAATAAAAAAAAACACAAAAACCTTATTCTGGCTCAAAGACAAAATGTCCTACTTAGTCTAACAGCTTCTCCCAGGGAAGTTAATACTGGGATGGCTTCTATGCATGGGTAAAGTCTTAAAGTAATAAATATTGCCTTAAGAAAAGGAGTTGTGAGGATCTTGAAGCTAGCTGATGTATGTTGTCATGTCCCTCAAGGCATTAGCATCTGATGTGCTTTTAGAGATGAATCAGGCTCCAAGGTTATCCATGCAAAAAAAATAAGCTTTCAAAACAGCATCAAGAGGGGAAAAAATAAAAGAAGAAGAAAAAAAAAACTCTAAAAAACTGATTTTAATATAATTTTGATTTTTTTTTTTTTTTTATCAAGAGGGGAAAAAATAAAAGAAGAAGAAAAAAAAACTCTAAAAACCTGATTTTAATATAATTTTAATTTTTTTTTTTTTTTTTTTGCTGTCCCTGTGAACCTGACTGGTGTCTCTCAGAGAGGTGTAGATCACTCCTTTCAGTGTGAAAGGAAGTATCTTATGGTAATGGAAACTTGCAGAGATGTGAATTTGGCAAAGAAATCCAGAGTGATTAATAAGCAGCAAAGAGTTTCTGCTGTTGAAATCTGCATATGGCTGTCTCAGGACTTGCTCCTGCTCCCAGGAGCACCAGGGAGAGTTCCAGCTGAGCCTTTAGGTGAGAAATATCTCCACAAATCCTGCTGCTCTTGTGTTTAGATCCCTCAACCAGGGATTAGCTCCCAATTTTGAAAGTGGGCAGTTGTTTCAGAAGTACCACATATTATTATTGTGTGTACAAAAAACAATAGATAGAGGAAAAAAAGTCTGATTTTTCTTCACATCATTTCTGAGCACATTTCATGCCCAGAAAAGAGCATTGACAAAGACAAAGGTCAGAGAGAGCTGATCTAAAGTGTCTTCTTCCTCTGTTCACAAGAACTGGTGGCTCCCAGTGATGGGCTGTTCCTAAAGACAGGACTAGGAGTGACTCTCACCTCTTTCCCAGTTTTCTCCACCCAGTTTTTTCCTAGTCATTGGTAGCTGCAGAACAAGAGCAGATCAACTAATGGGCAGAAACTTCAGACTTTATATGAGCACATCTTGATGTCAGGCTTCTGTAAATTTAATTAGACACACCCTGCTATGTGGAATAAAAATTCTATTTGGAAACAAAAAGCTCCTTAATTTTCTCTAATTTCATCAATAATCATCATAATAATTGCCACTGCTATTGTTTTTTAATTACAGTTCCAGGTAGAAAGGAAGAATTGGATCCCTTTCCAGTTAATGTTATATATTCTCCAACTTCCTTTTTTTGCAGTCAAAAGGGAATGGATTTGTCTCCCTGTGAATTCTATTTTATGCTAAATATACCAGCAAACTGTCCATAACATAAGAACCTTATTACACAGGGCAACTTGTCAGATCCAGACCTCTCTGGATGTACAAAATGCTCAAAACACAGGGAAAATAATCACAGCATCAACAAAGGGCTGCTCGTGAGGGACAAAATCACACTGGAATGGTGGAAGGGAGTAACAGAGCTCATAATTTTCATTTGACACCTACCTATTGTGTCTCCTTGCTCGTGCACCATGGAGGCCAGGTCTTTGATGATCTGGTTCACATCCAGCATGTCGCTCTGGAAAGACAGAAATCCTAACATTACCCAGGAATGGGGAATATCCAAGTACAAAAGGCACATTCCACAGTCCAGCTTGGCAAAGAAAAACACAAACCAAGAAATCTTCAGTGGTGTAGATGCAAAAGGGAAAGTTTTGATGCTCCCATAGTAAAAAATTCCCTCAGAGCCATGCTTTGCTGGATCCAAGTCAGGCAGCTGACTCAAGCTTTGTGAGAGGAGCAAGTGGAATGATCAGATTTTATGCTTGCTTTTCAGAATTGTGGAGCACTAAGGAAAAACAACAATAAAAACAACAGTGACAAACCCTTTTCTTTCTAAAAAAGTTATTGGTGATGCAGGCCATTCCTCCCAGACTGTTTTCTCCTGCACAGAAAAAGGCCATCTCTCAGCACAGCATCCATCTGATGCTATTCATAAACTGATGGATACAATCAAAAACTCCCTGAATTTGAAATTGCCTTATTGGTAGGGCAATAAGGAAAGAGCTATCTGATGAACAGATTCATTTATATGTTTTCAAGTAGTTTAAAAAAATAAAAAACCGTAACTGCATTCAGCTCTGAAATTTTCTCTGTGAAAACACAGCAAATTACCCATGAGTTTGTTTCCTTCATTTCTGAACACTTACCATATAAAATAGCAAATGTGAGCATATGTTGACATCATATGACACTGGGTCTTGTAAAAAGAATTAGTTTAGCAATAATAGACATAATAATATAGACACTGCTAAATGCACTACCAGCAAGTCAGCATTGCCAGAGCAGGAAAAAAGACACTAAAAAAGGATGTATTTTTTTTTCAGCCCTACAAGTCGGAGAATCACAGAAACATTGAAATGGGCAGGAACCTTTGGAAATTATTTAGCCCAACAGCCCTTCTCAGAGCAGACAACTAAAGTAGGGTGCTCAGGGCATGGTTTTTTGTGACTCCAAGGATAGAGATTCCACAGACTTCCTGGCAAAATGTAAGTCCATGGAATCCTGTGTGTTGTTTCAGCATGGCTGGATGACAGGCACCTACCAAATCTGCTCTACCACTCCCCTCTGTAAGTAAACAGAAATTGAAAATATAATGAAGGGCTCATAAATTAAGGACCAGGAGATCCCACCCTCCAAATATCATCATGGGCAAACCAGACAGATATTAATTGAATTTATTACTAACAAAATCAGAGCAGGATAATGAGACGTTTCAGAATTGTGTGGACACAATCCTGTGCCTGTGCTTGAGCAGGGAGGTGGGATCAGATGGCCTCACTGTGGTCCCTTCCAGCCTGGCCCACCCTGGGATTCCATGTTCATCCCAAAAGATACAATTGCCTCCACCATGCTTTTTAAAGAACTCCATTTCCCCACTAACAAATTTAGAAAATGGTGCAAAATGAATCCACATCCTCGTACTGAAGTTTGCTATGAGAATATAACTGGCATAGCACTTCTACACGGAATGCAATAGAATTGCATCAATTTAAAATGAGGTCTGGGAGTCCCACTGTGAGTGCTAGAATAGACCAAATTGTTGAATAACTGAAGATGGAGGAAAAGCAAAAGATTGAAAAAGCTGTGAGAAATCATAATAAAGCAAAAAAAAAACACTCCCCCAACCAAAGACTGGGTAATGCACCACAAAATGTACTTCATTCCTTCATTTGTCAAGCATAATGAAGCTTTAATTATGGATGGTATTATTCCTAACTTCTAAATACTGCAGGAATTTTGCAAAACAATGAAGTTTAAGTAATTTGAGATTGTACTTGAGCAGTGTGTTAGTAAATCATTACTGGGAAATGAGGAGAAATTAGTGGTGATTTTTTTTTTTGTGTAGGGAAGTTTTCTGAGCTTTTTGTAAAAATATTTTAAGGGAGAAAGTTAAAGTTTAGCAAAATGTGAAGAATTGAGAATTAATTTTAATGTCTTGCTCTGCTCTTAACTGCTTTGCAAAAGATGATTAAGGAAAATAACATTTAAAAAATATAATAATACTAAAAAAACCCAGAATGCTAATTTTTCACTCTTGGCTAAATTGTCACTGACATAATTTTTTGTGTCTGTTCCTTGCAATATAAACACAATCCTTTCTACACTTCAATCTGCTTTATTTTGTTGTGCTTCTTTTTCAGCACTTTAAGTGAAGGTGGCTTAAAACTGATGAATATGTTTTTGCACGTTCATTTGGTTAGAAGAGTTTGTTGCAATATATTGAATTACACGTGCCCCCACCCACCCCAAGCATTACCACTGGAATAAAACAGATGATACACTGACTTCTTAGAGGACCCTTCCCAGCTGATTTAGCCATGAGGAGTTGGGCTGTGTGTGTCCTGATCCCCAGATATTGGGTGAGGCAGGGAAGAATGAGGAAGAAAATTCAACATTGTGTGAGAACGGTGCTGGTTCAGCTTTGCCATTTGTATTCAGGTACTTGAAACCAACCATCTGCAGCTGCAGAGTATAGATACTTTCCATAATGTTGCAATAACACTTAAAATTACTGTTTAACAAATATGCATCAGTGAGAGCCAGCGCTGAGTTGTGAGGAAGGGAAAAACTGCGACTACTGCACTTGAGGAAAAACTAACAGGGGTGAGTTATAAAGCACAGAGCACAAAAACAATCTGACCTGAAGCAAGAAATCTGTTGAATAATTTAACCTGGCAATGTGAAGTTTCAAAGTCCTTGATATAGGTAAGGAAAACAAAGGAAGAAAAGGAAGAAAGAAAAAATAGCCAGAAATAAAGACCTTCCATAATGGAATATACCTTGGAGCTACTCTCCTTCTTGCCAGGTCTGCTCCATCCCCAAGTACCTCTGAACTTGCCAGGCATCAGAGTTTGTTAGGAAAATCAGATTGCCTTTGGTTCCCCATGTTTGCACACACTTTGCAGAATTCACAATGAAATACAGCTCCTTATAAATCTCTGACTCCACAGAACCCAGGAGTGCAGCAGCCACCACCATTTCAGCCACCACCATTCCCAAAATTCTAACTAGGCTGGGGCTCCCTGGGTTTTAATTAACACCAGTCTTTCCTGTCTGGCAACAATTCACTCACCATATTCTGCAGCAAGAGGGAGACAGATTTAAACTGTTCCAAATAAATCCTCTTCTCTTTTTTTTCCCTTTTTCTTTTTTTTTTTTTTTTCCCTCCCCAAAAAGAAGAAATCCATTGTTCAGATTAGTAGACAGGATTTAATATCACCCATTCTGGAACAAAAAGAATTAAACTAGTCAACAACAAAATGAAATGGAAGTAGCTAAAGATGGCCAGAAAAGCAGAGAATTGATAGAGGAGAAAAGCAGAGATGCAAAAGAATGAGGCCCTTAAGTTCCAGAGAATTAACTCTCACTATGGAATATTAGTTTGGGAAGTTCTTAACAGAAAGTACTAGGTTAAAATGGCAGGACTATTTGAGTCACTTAACCTGACTCAATAAGTGAATACTGTCTCTGCATAGTATTGAGATTTCAGGAAAAAAAATGAAATTTCCAAACCTGACACAAAAATGGTTGGAAATATGATTTTGCAGATAAATTAGAAATTTCAATTTCCCATTTTTTTTTGATTTAACAGGATAAAGATTTCAACATTTTTGAAATTAATTTGTGAGCAAGTCAGGTTATAAAACCCAGACATTGTCACCAATGTGGGAATGATAAATCCCAGCAGCCCATTTCCCCACAGAATGAGCATTACTGAAGTATTTCTAAGACAGAAAATAAGCAAACTTCTTCTCTCTTCCACTCTCTTGCTTTGTGGGGTGAAGATTTATTCACACTGAAAACTTCCAACATTACCCTGCCTTTAATGATATCCTAAGGACACTGCTGTGTTCCAGACATGGGAATGGTGTTAAATAAACCAGAGAGGGGAACATGTTCTCCTCAGAAGGACACAGAACAAATCTGTGTAGTCAATAATTCCTCTCTCACATGGAGACAGATCCCAGCCTCCCCTATCAGTGTCAGCTCAGGTCCTCAAGGGAAGGAGCACTCATTTCTAGGAATGTTTGCCTTAGGTTTGTATAAAAATGGGATCAAAAGTATCAGTGCTCTATCCTATTTAGCACTTGTGTTTACTCACAAACCAGCCATCCATATTTTAAAGGACTATAAATTAGCATTTAAATTAATTGCTGCCTCAATATCCAGGAGCTGCTGAATTTTTACAAGCGAGGTCACATCCTGACCCATCATTTATTCTGCAGCAAGCAGCCAGGAGAGCTATAAAATAAACCCCAAGGAGATCCTGAAAGATGTCCTAGAAGGCCCATGTGTGCATTTCTGCACACAGAAGCACTCCAAAACACAATAAAGCAAAACAAACCCCTTGTGCTTGTTATCTTTGGGGAAAAAAAATAAAGAAACAAGGAAAAAAAAAATCAACGAACAGCCCTTTGTAGTTTCTATCATGTTTTTCCAAAGAGATGCTGATATGTTCCTTGTGTGTTGTCCCATCCGCAACAGCTGTGGGGCATCTCCTACCCTGTGGTCCACCATGTATGGACATGGAAAAACAAATCAGAGCATGGTGTTTGTCTGTCCTCATTCCTTTCTGAGAGGCAGGGGAAGGAATGGAAAAGGAAAAAAATAATATAAAACATGAGCAAGCTTCTGATGCAACATAGGCAGAAACTAAATCTTGCTGCAGCAGCCTTTCAACAAATATTTTTCTCTTGTCTATGGCTGGGGAGAAAAAAATGACATTCAATAAATCAACCTGATTCAGCCTAAGCAACAACAGACCAGCAGAAAATTGTTTTGAGGGCAGAAGCCATCCAGAACAGCAATTACAGACTGAGTTAGATCTCCTCTGAGACTCAACAACAGCCAGAGTGTGGAGTTTCTCTCTCCTGCTCTTGCCTGTGCACGTTCCCTCTCTCTTTTGCTGTCTTAGAGGTCTGTGTCATCTCAGGGAGTGTAAAACCATGCTGCATAATTAAAGTAGTCACCCTGAGCTTTAGGATGCCAGTCCAGCACCTGCCTGGGGACAGCAGC